GGGTCAGTGATATTGTCTATTTACACAAGTGATGTATATCATATATATCATGTATACAGTATCACATGATATCCCTTGAAAAACTTCCATTTATCCCATGGATATCCCATTGAATCACAAAAAAAACCATGAAGATCCCATGTTTCTTTTAATGTTCATCCCATGATATCCCCCAGTCCCATCCCCATCCCCTCGTCTTCCAGACCGCGAGCGACATCTTGGGCCGTGCCATGGTGATCCACGACTTCGAGGGAGGACGTATCGCCTGCGGCATCATCAAGGAGGCGGTGGGAACTAGGGAAACGCTGGGGAAAGACTGTGAAAACTGGTGTTCACCATGAAAAAATGATGATTTAACGGTGGAATTTTGGGATTCTGTGGGATATATCATGGAATACCCTCTGATAATTTAGCAGTACTGGAAATCAACAGTCTTAATAGGTAAACAATCCATATTTGGGTCATTTTGCAGGGCTATGCTTAGATTACCAAATCGTTTGTTTGGCAATTTAACCCACGTATAAATAGGGAAGTGGGTTTGTCATGAAAGATGATGGGTTTGTGATGGATTGACTGAAATAGTTTACCCATGTTTACCCCCAAATCCACTAGTTAAGCACCATTCATTATCCCGTTTGAATTGGCAATATGCGGGGTACACTCCATTTTCAGACAGACTCTTGCAACCACCAAAATATAGGTAGTCAGTAAATGATTATGACTAGATTTTATAGCGAGGGTTGGTGGTGATTGCAAGACTATAGCTAGATGGGTCGATGAACAAACATTTCGACTAGTACCCTCTGGTAATTTGTTCCATAGCTATTGAAAATGGCCCAGTCGAAATAGTGGATTTACCCAGCTTTAAAATTGTGATTTTCCATAGTTTTTTGTATGTTTACCAGAGGGTAATTAAGTGCTATAGGTCCATCTTCATTTCATGGTGGTTAACTCTCCATTTTTTTAATGATCCTTTTGCCAAGATTTGAACCAGTTTTCCCCCGCAATTGTCCAATTACCATCTGGTTATGACTATCAGTTCACCATGGGAAATCCCCGAAATAAATGGAGGTTCCTAGCGGGGAAATTCATCTATTTCCATGGGCCATTTTCCATGGCTATGTTAAATAACAAGAGGGTAGATCCCAATGTCAAGGCGTAAATCCCCATTTCAGCAAAATCACCTAAATCAAGCGGTGAGCGCTCTTGGAATTTGCAGCAGAATTCTGCGCAGCTTGTTCAGGTTGGCCTTCACATGAGGCATGTCAGAACACCTACAACAATGAATCCAGAGAAATATGCTGGCATGAAGAAGTGGGAAGAGTTGTCCCACAATTGCCAAGCTTTGGTGACAGCTGCATTGAATTACAGAACAGTAGAAGCCGCTCACGATGTGATCAAGCAGATGTTCACAGATGAACAGCGGGAATCAATCAAGGCTGAAATGAATTAGCTCTTGAGCAAGGAGCTCCAAAACCATCCAAAACCCGCTTCGAAACTAACCCGAGTACAAGTTAGCCCTACCTATCCTTGAAAAAATAGGGGGTTATATGGGGTCATCATAATCCAAGAGGATGGGATCCCGTTCAACCAACCAGGATTCAATGGAATGACAGATTTTGAACACTGCTTGGATCTGCACAGATATCTGTGGTTTGATTCAAACATGCTTTTGGTTCATATCGGTTCACAGTTAAGTGTGTTGTTTTCCGGTCAATGTAATGTGGGTAAAACAATGTCATAAACCACCCATGACTGGGAATGGGAAACATCATACAACCTATTAAAATTGTGATAACTGGGGGATGGTTTATGGCATTGCTTGGCCCACATTACATTGACTGAAAAGAAACCATATGATATATCTATGTTTAATCATATATTCCTGGGAAATGGTTCATTTATCTACAAAAAACCGTGGTTTTACCATTAAATATATGCGTTTCCTGTAAAAATTCCCTTAAACCAATCCAATGAAATATGATATTGAATAGCCATTAAATCCCATCGATGGTGATTTGGGGGATGTTTCATTACAGATTATGATTGTTTTACCCACATTAAAACATATTAAAACCAAGGTAAGTTGCATTATCCAATGAAATTTGCATGTTCTTTGCATTGTTAAAGTCAATGGGTTGGTTTAAGGGAAAAATTTACAGGAAACAATGTTTTTCCCCACCAAATATATCCAAATATGAGGTCAAAGCCTCCTCCAAGGCCACTGTGAGCTCCTTCAGCGCCTATCCGGGCTACACGGGAAATTTGATGTCAGTGGGATCTGCGCTGATCGACTCAGGGTGTCTTGGTTGAAGCAATGGATCTACTGCGGGAGCCACAAAGGTTGGGTTACATCTACCCCCAATGATATGTGGAATGTCCCAAATCTCCCCATGGGATTTGTAAATGGGTTTTAGAGGTTATAATAGGTTAAATATGGATTATACACCACGGATACGATCCGTGCCCGCACATCCAAGTAGGATTTCAGTGGGGTTTGAATGGTTTAAGCTTTGGCAGTGGCTTGGTCAGCCAGTTCCCTCCGATTTTGGACTTACTGTGATAAGGGAATGAATTGGCATCTGGGCACATCAACGGTATCCGGAAAAAGGTGGATGAGACGTTTGGCCAAAATGCTGGATTTCGCCTTGACAATTGCAGTTGGAACGGGGAAAATGCTGATAAGTGCCATGGGATTCAGGGTACCCTTCGTTTTCAGACAAAGCCAAATCGCAAAAACAAATCGATTACAATTTCAATGAGAATATCTACTTGAGGCTGGACCAATAACTTGTTCCATGCCCAGGAATAGATGTAGTAAATCCCATACCAAGCCGAGGTCTCAGGATGTCTCAGGTGTCGTAAGTTTTCGTGGATTCTCCCATTTATACCATAAATACTGTGGACGAAGCTGGGAAAGATCACCACTTGACTAAGCTTACTGGTTCTAAACGTAGGGTTGCTGGATGGGCTGCTGGGACTATTATTGATAGTGATGAAATGGATCATTCCCGAAAATTCCCTAAGCACCGTAAGATTCAGCTTACCATCACCACTGTATCTTTATCACTTGCTAACCACAGAGATCCTCAGAGGGGATGATCCCCCATGGGGAGACCAACGAGACCAGCCCGATGTCACAGGTTCATCTTGAAAAATTGCGCTGGCTGCGGTTACCCTTTGGTAATTTTTACACTTTGCTATTGAAAATGTCCATTTATAGTGGATTTACCTTTGAATTTACCCATTTAAAATGGGGATTTTCCATTGTTATGTTAGTTTACCAGAGGGTAAGCACCATTAGTAGGGGTTTACATAACCATTAACACTATGAGATAGTATAGGAGAACATGGGGATGCTATATATAATTGTACTGTTTTTTAGGATTGGCCATGATGTACGGTTTGTCATCCGTCGCTCCGGACACCTGGAGAGCGTGGAAGGCCTGGTTTTGGTTCAGCTTGAAGGCAATCAACTCTTGGGAGGTGGCTTTGGCCATTCGTGCCCCATTTTAGGAAACTTCCATATTATGAACTATATATGTGTATATATATATATATATACACATACATTATTATATATATATATATGATATATGTAGATTATAATAAATATATAGTATAATCAACATATAGTATATTTAATATAATATAGAGATATATATATATATACAATGTAATATATATATATATACAGATATATACATACAACCATGTTCAGGATGGGTTGAAACCACCAGCCAGCCACCCTTCAGGTTCGGGAAGCAGACTCTTTCTTGGATCTTCCAGTCAGGCTTGGACACGCGCTGCAGTGATGCTCGGATTGAGCATTGGATACTTTGTATGGTTGCGAAATCCTGTACCAGTTGGGAACTAGGAACGTAAGTATGAAACATTGTAAATAATGAGATCAAAAAGGGGATAACCATCTACCAACTGGCGCAGGATTTCGCAGCCATCCACAGTATGTCTGCCGCTATACCACTATACCCAAGAATTTGATGCTTGATCATCATTTTGGTTCTTCAAATGAGCATTTATGTGGTATGAGGCCCCTTTTCAGACACATATAGATTGGGGGATGGGAAGACTTCCCATATACTTTTCAGGGCTCCAACCTCTTGTATCCATATCCCCTATTAAAGGGGGAGCCGAGAAGCACGAATCAGAGTTTCCCAACCACATGAAAGTTTGAAAAGTTTCAAAAGCAATGGAAAAATCAACAAAAATCATGATTTTGACCACAAAGATAGGAACATGTTGGAAGCTTTAGTGAATACCTAAAGAGAATCGAAGCTAAAGTTTTAAATTCGCTCATGTTGGGCTTGAGCATAGACACAGAAAAGCCTCACCAAGAGGACCCCTGCTTATTGGGACCGCCACCATCCACTGTTCCAGACTGCTGGTTTCCATTCAAAATCCCAGCGGGGCACAACAAATGCAGCTGCGAATGAACCCGAGTTTGAACATCTCCCTATCGAGACACCTCCGGGGACGAATAACCATGAGAAGTTGCATGGAGTAAAATGGTGAATAACCTGGTGATATGAGGCCTACCAGATTCGGGGAAGAGCTTCTATTGGATACATCTTCGATTTTACTGCTTATATCAAGCAATTATTAGCTAATGAAGTTCCAGATAGTGGGTGATAAAGATAGATCACTTGCCCACTACATCTTTTATTGTCGTTGCAGTCCCCCATTTCCGTTGGTGAAATCCACCAAAAGGTTGATCAGTTTCCCAGTGGCGCTGAGAGAATCTTGAATCCTTGGAAGAGCATACCACGTTGTAAGTGCATAATACTTGGTGGCTCATCCCGCTTACCCTCTGCTAAACTAACATAACTATGGAAAATCGCCATTGTTAATTCATAAATCCATTATTTCTATGGCCATTGTCAATAGCAAAGTGTAAGAAATTGCCAGGGGGTAACTAGGTGGCTTAGTTCACCCGACTTAGGATTCGTGGGTAGTTTGCCACCAAGTAGCGACCTCACGCAGCGACAGCACGCAGCGAAATGATGGTAAGTAAGGGGTTACTATCCCAAAAATGGTGCCAATTAAACTAGTTCCCCGCATCCCCCTGGTTCGCCACACTCAAGCAACACATCCAAACAATATGATATACTTATCACCAGAGGATGCATGAAAACACTGGCTATACGCAGTGATTTTGGACTTTTTTTTCAGGATTTAGGGCTTTTATTTAGGGTTTAGGATGGTTTAGGGTTTTAATTTCGGGTTTAGGTTTTTAGGTGTTAGGCTAATTTAGGGTTTTGATGTTTGTTGTTTTGGAAGGTAAAAAACTTAAACCCTGCGCAGGGATTTGAGCATGTCAAAGGATATGCGGGATTGGCCGCGGGCAAACCTAGGGGTTGCAGCGAACTAGTTTAAATTTTGCAGATATTCATTCCATCTTTGGTTGCCAGTCTCTGAGGAAACTGTGCTAGGTTATCTTCAGGTTGTTCTTTCCATCCTTGGACCTTACCTTCCAGTCTCTCAGGAAGCTTGCATGGCACCCAACTGCTGCGGCGTTCATATCCATGTGGGCTTTGACTGCACAGATGCCAGCACCATCGGTGGACACTGGTGGAATTCAGATGCACTCGAGGCGGACCCATGGCAGACCATCATGCAGCTTGGCAATGATGTGAGTATGGGGTTGAAATAGCAAAGATTGAGGCTGTAGTAATTGTGGTATCATATATAATATTTATATATAACTATATATATATATACGCATATGTTTGTGTGAGAGAGATACCTTTATAAATGTACATATTGGAAAATATAGTTGTGGTATAAGTATGAAATATTACATATATGGACTTGATAAATGGTATAATATGGGGTATCATGGGATATTATATGTGGATATATATATATATAAATCATGGTATATATTACCAACTACCCTAATGAATGGCGATTCAACCAACTTCCACCAGGTCAAAGACAACAATATGGCAGAGTTTCGACTAAAGCTGAATCTTTATCCCCACCACGATTATAGCATTCACAACCGATCGAATGTGTGGTTGAATCCTTTAGCTTGTTTGCGAAAATCACCAGCCAGCCGGCAAAAGTTTTTTTTGGGGGGGGCTATCAGAGATTGACCATGAATCACCATTGAAATTTATAAAATCCATTTAATCACCATAAATCACCATTAAATCACCATACCCAGATGGTAAATCCTAGGCTTCGAAGTTGAGTAAGCCTCTATCATTGCGCATCCCCCTGCTGGAGGAAACATCCACTGAGTTCGTTGGTTGCTTTGTCATAAAGTCCCTAACGAAACAGGGAGAAGTTCCCAACAAAAACGGAGTTTCCGTACATGTCAATGTGGGAAATGTGGGAAAAACAATAATGATGATTAATGATATGGTTAATGGAAATATTATGATTAACAAACATAGATTTAATGTGGTTGAAACAATGTCATAAACCATCCATTTGGGAATGGTTAATAAATGATGGTTAATGATGGTGAATATATAATGGTTTATAATGATGGTTTTAATGATGACTACTGATAGTCAATGATGGTTAATGTGGAAAACACTATCATAATAATATTATTTAACCCCCATAAACCAATCCTGGTTGGTGCTTTAGAACATGATTTTTATGACGTTCCATTCAGTTGGGAATTTCATCATCCCAACTGACGAACTTATATTTTTCAGAGGGGTAGGTATACCACCAACTAGTAATGGACATTCAATGCAGAAATGATTTGAAATGGTGGTGTTTTTTTGTGTTGATACTGGTTTACTCCAACATCGAAACCCCACCAGCCAGCTTTGGAGAATCAGCCCACTGGACCCCAAGGTGATGTCACTGTAATGATGTTGGGAATTATCGGGAGTGTTGTCTTATTTAAGCTACTATATCAGGTCAGTGGATTATGATATTTCAGCCATATATCATATTTTTATCTACTTGTATCTGTCTATCTATATATATATATATACATATACTTATACATGGCTACGGATCTATACCCATAAGTCCATTGTTTCGGGAGATGGACATCCATAAATTCTAGCTCTTTTGATCGCCAGAATTCACCGTCCCATCACTGAGATCCTATAATTCCATTGGTTTGGATCCTTATTCATCACCATTAAACTATCTTAAACTTCCATTTATCCCATGAATTCCCATAATAATCTTCTTAAAATTCCATTAAATCAACATGAAATCATATGAAATCATTCTAACATCATTTACCCTCTGGTAATTTGTTACATAGCGAACTGGAAAATGTCCATAGAAATAGTTGATTTTCCGATTCAAAATGGTGGATCTTTCCAGTTCGTTCTGTAAACGTTTACCAGAGGGTAACATCAATGGGAATTTCAGGATCCTAAAATGGAGGTACTGTACCATATAAGACCATATTTCCTGGGGATATTCCCTTACATAGCCCTTACATAGGCCTTATATATGGTAGGTACCTCCCATTTAGGTTCCTGACATGGCCAGTGATTTAACATCACATTGCTGACCCATATCCCCACCTTTGCGCAGGTACAACACAACCGGTGGCATGCCGTCAGTCGCCAGCAGCATCGAAGTCGACACGCAGCTGAGCACCGTGCAGATCAACAAGCGGGCGCTCGTGAGCCCTGTCCGCAATTTTTTGGGGATTCCTAGGTCAATCTTTTCATGGGAATATCATGGAACATGGTGATGAAAAATGGCATTTAAACCAGTTTCTAGGTTAATCAACTGGATGGGGTAGAAACGAATCCTTTAGTCTTTTGGTATGAATGGGAATATCTACGTTCACCAGCAAAGAATTTGTTATTTTTTGCAGGGTATCTAAGATTGGCAATGATTCGATTAGGGCTTATTTGACTGGGATGTACAGGATGTAGTGGGAATATCGGTGAATATCATGGAAATATGCCATAAAAAGTAAGACTCTTGGTGCGATATCCCGTTAAAATCTCAATTTCGGGGGGGTCTATTGGATTCTGATTCAATTGCTTTTTTCGGAGGAAATATGTACTTATCCCAAATCCCATGTTATCCTCAAAAAGTAAATCCCTAGGAGAATATAGTTCACTGAAAAGCAACTGTTTTAATGGGAATATCATGAAATATGGTGATTATATGGATTTTTACCAACGACTGGTAGGTGATTTAACGGAACAATTGGTGGATATAGTCCCATTAATGGGAGGGAAAGGGATTACAATGGGATGGGATGATAATGGGTTTAATGGGAGTATCATTTTCTATAACTATACACACACTTAGATGGAATATAGTTATCCAAAAAAGCGAAAAGTAAATCATTACTGTAATAGCGATGATTCATTTTTCAACATCTTTTTGGGAAGGACTACCAAGCGATTTTTGTGATAACGATTAGAGGAGTGTAATTACATGGTCCCCTTATGTTATAAAATGTGTTTTTGATGGAATAATCCCATATATTTGATTTTGTATCATGAGGTTTTACTGGTATCATAATGGCATTAGGTTTTACAAAACCAGGTGTAGACTGCGTACATAAGCAACAACTTTCTTACAACAGACAACCTATGATGGAGACTAAGGTGCCACATTTCAAAATGGGGCTATTCCAACGCAATCAAGGCAAATTATCGTCATCTCACATCGTGGCCTCACTGGAATCATGGTATATATATATATATATACGTGTGTGTTGGGAATATCCCCATAGCTGGCCGAACTTTTGGGCTAGTGAAATTTAGCAAGTTATCCAGGTCTCTTATGGCATCGTGCAATTTTATTTTGACTCTGGCAGCCGGAGGTTTTGGAACGGAGCCGAACAAAGAAGATGAAGGATTCAAGATGGATTCTTGCATTTTTCTTGGGTTGGAAACATTTAGATGGGAGCTTATAAGCAGGGAAATTCGTCAAAAGAGCTTGGATGAGATTGATGGCTGTGGTGACTTTTGCTTTGTTGAGAGGGTGCAGTGCGCAGTGAATTTTCCATTGGGCTGGCCGCTGTAATGAAACCAGGGCCTCTCTCGAGCTCACTGAAGCAGAAGGCCCTCTTGAGCGTCCACCATATGCAGCCGATGGCCCTGACGATCCTTTTTTCGGTAGATGATGTCCTGCTGGCATGTGAGCCCAAAGCACCAAAAGCAGTACTACCACATAGTGGCACACGAAGGCGTGGCAGCAGCTCACTGGTGCAGCTTGTGTGGCACAGATGGTGTTGTAAGCGAGAAGAAGTGGTAAGGTCAGATATGACTCATATGACCATGATGATTTCGAAAGGTTAGGATAATGGTAAAACAATAGATTCCCAGACGCTCGCTTTCCATATTTGCAAGTATCAAAGCCGTACACTTGGATTTTTGTGGGTGAAGAATTAGATGGATTCTAAGCTACATAGCCTCTGGTAAACCAACATAGCGAAGTGGAACATCACCATCTGATGATAGGTAAATCAACGAAACATAGCTAGGCCACGTTCAAGAGTTGTGTAACAAATTACCAGAGGTATACCTTATTTTTGGAACACCCAAACTGATCCAAATTGGATAATAAGTTACCCCATCCTATCCCCATTGATATCCCTTTAGCAATTACTATCCCATAATCCACTGAGGATTCACGACTTCACTGGTGCGCGCATTGCCTGCGGGAACATCATGATGCCCGTCAGCGAAGCCATTGCGTCTTGGCGCAGATTTTTTTTTGGGTACAAAGGTGTCGGATGATCTCCATGTGGGTGTTTGAAAATGGGACCCCGCAAACAAATGCTGGTTGGTGGTTTGGAACATTTGGATTATGCTTCCATACATTGGGAATGTCATCATCCCAGCTGACTAATATTTTTCAGAGGGGTTGAAGCCACCAACCAGAATGATAATAAATGACAATAAATGGGAAAAATTGGGATGTAATGATGCTATGATGATGCTATGAAACATAGTAATTAGATTTATATAAATATATGTATATGCAATAATATAAGTATATATCTGATTGGTGGTTTGGAACAGGAATTTTATTTTTCCATATATTGGGAATGTCATCATCCCAACTAACGAACTCATATTTTTCAGAGGGGTAGGTCAACCACCAACCAGTAATAGATGGGGTAAAATCCCAAGCACACCAATTCTATAGGGGATTGACTAACAAAAACTCGGAATTTATTGGATTGAGCCCCTCCCCCTATGATTAAACAGTCCACTAAGCAGTTCCATTCCCTACATCCACCATGGTTCCTGGGGTGGCATTCAATAATGTTTAATATTAGGGGGAAGGGATTTAAAAAGTAAATCATAGCAGGTTGATTGTTTTAAGAAAATATCGTATCACTAAATTCACAAGATTCAGTGGTTTATCATCATTGCTCTTGTTCGAGTGGCCATTTGGAGAAACCCCATTTTCAGGCACACCCAAAAGTTTACGGGTTGCTAAATAGGTAAGTGGGTGAATCCTCAACATGAATTCCCCCTTAAAATACCTTGAATAAGCCTTTGATTCAAGCATAGAGTCCAAGTTAACTTAAAAGAATCGGTACCTGACGTGCTTCCTGGAGTCCATTTCTCGATCATCTTCCTAGAGAAACCATGGATCAAATCCACATCTACGGTATCTACGTTTACCAAAGGGCAATTTCCTCAAAATATCAACTGATTATTCAATATTATTAATATTAATTTTGGAATATTAATATTGATATAGAATATTGATGGTAAATCAATATCCGTTACATCCCGATCTATTGATGGTTTATATCCCATTGATTGCAGTAGAATCCCAACAAAAAACGGTTACATTCTTTTTTCAACACCCATTGGACTATATTAGATAGCCATTAAATAATATTGAATGCCATGTGTTTCAATGGTGTTTTTTATGATGGTTTATATCCCATTAAACAGTATGAAACACCCATTATGGGATAACCATTTCATGATATTGAAATGATATATTCCCATTTAATCCCGAAAATATTCAATGTTGATAATATTGACCATCAAATACCAAAATCAATGATATCTATTGAATAATGATAATATGGATTATTAATATCAATAATAGCCATAATGATATCAATAATAATATCCCAATATTAATATTAACAATATTGAACAATCAATTTATATTGTGTTGAATTGATTTACCATCAATAGTATTACTTTATCATCAAATACCTACCAATAATAAGGATGCTATTTTTGAATAACCATGAATCCATGAATAACCATGAATAGTAGTACCAATACAAAATACATAATCTGCTTGATGGTTTGGAACAGGACTTTTATTTTGTCCATATATTGGGAATTTCAGCATCCCAACTGACGAAGTCCTATAATTTTTCAGAGGGGTTCAAACCACCAACCAGAATCATATCCCCAATTATCAACCATGGTTAATGATGGTTACTGATAGTTAATGATGGCTTTCATGCGGGAAAAACAATAAGTTTGTAATATTAAGCCACTATACCACCAATCCTAGTTGAAATGCCCATTTCTTTGTTAAATGATAGTTTTTTCCAAATATCTATTCATTTTTTTGGTGAATGATAGGGACCTGAAAAGGTTGAATATGAAAAAACTATCCCCCCCGGATTTTAGGATCTTAAAGGTCCACTTAGTTCGGTTAAAGAAGTAAAATATCTCCGTTATGATATGTTCAGAAGGGTACTACATAATATCCGCATTAATATTGATATAATATCAATAATATTAAATACATTATTCATGGGACAACATCAAGAACAATATCATCCCAAAAATAATGTAATTAATATTAATACATCAATATTAATGACATTAACGGTTTGTTTAATTCCCAATTATAACATCAATAACATTATCAGGTTGGTAAGCGCAGAGTAGGTAGACCCAGGCAAAGCTGGGCACACAGCACGAATGAGTTGATTCATTCTAACAGAAGCCAGCTGGAATACACAGGATCAGAGTATCAAAACCAATCTATTCTTCAAGTTGCCAGACAAAGGTTCATATAAGCCAGGCGCCAAAGCGTCTCACGCACATGCAGGGCACCTGCATGAGACGCATGGTCGTAGAAAAAAAATAAACCCAAAGAATATCCCCAACAGCAAGAAAGCAGCGGCCGTAGATCCCAAACAGTAATTCCATAAAAGCGTGGTAGTTTTTGTTTCATGACCAAGCAATGCAGTGCATTTTTGCGGCGTCCTGCCTGCCGCCCTCCCCTACTACTACTACTACTACTACAACTACTACTACTACTACTGCTATTACTACTACTACTACTACTGCTATTACTACTACTGCTGCTACTACTACTACTACTATTACTACTACTTACGCGCGGGTTCCGCACGTTATGCGCGTCTGCGTTTTGCGCGTGTTGTTCTGCGCGGGTTCCGCGCGCATCGTCGCATTCAAATTGCTTCAAGAAATTAATATATTACGACGAATATTACTACTACTTTTACTAATTATAATATAATCAATTTTACGATTACTTTCATTTCTACTACATCTGCGATACTACTACTACTACTACTACTGCTACTACTACTACTACTATTGCTACTATTGCTATTATTGCTACTACTACTACTACTACTACTACTACTCCTATTGTTAATAGTACGCGCGGGTTCCGCCCGTCTGCGTTTCGCGCGGGTTCCGCGCGTTACGCGTGTGCGTTTCGCGCGGGTTCCGCGCGTGTTGTTCTGCGGGGGCTCCGCGCGCGTCGTCGCATTCAAATTTCTTAAAGAACTTTAAATATTACGACGAATATTACTACTACTTCTATTAATTGTAATTTAATCAATTTTACGATTAGTATCATTTCTACTACATCTACGATATTACTACTACTACTACTACTGCTACTACTACTACTACTGCTACTACTACTACTACTACTAAGTTACTACTAGTACTACTAGAATATTAGTAGTACGCGCCGGTTCCACGCGTCTGCCTTTCGGGCGGGTTCCGCACGTTATGCGCGTCTGCGTTTTGCGCGGGTTCCGCGCGTGTTGTTCTGCGCGGGTTCCGCGCGTTGTCGCATTCATATTTCTTCAAGAAATGAATATATATTACGACGAATATTACTACTATCTTTACTAATTATAATTTCATCAAATTTACGATAAGTATCATTTCTACTACATCTGCGATATTATTACTACTACTACTATTGCTACTATTGCTATTATTGCTACTACTACTACCACTACCACTACCACTACCACTACCACTACTACCACTACTACTACTACTACTACTACTACTACTACTACTACTACTACTAGAAGTATTAATAGTACGCGCGGGTTCCGCGCGTCTGCGTTCCGCGCGGGTTCCGCGCGTTATACGCGTCTGCGTTTCGCGCGGGTTCCGCGCGTGTTGTTCTGCGTGGGTTCCGCGTGCGTCGTCGCATTTAAATTTCTTCAAGAAATTAATATATTACGACGAATATTACTACTACTTTTACTAATTATAATATAATCAATTTTACGATTACTTTCATTTCTACTACATCTGCGATACTACTACTACTACTACTACTACTACTACTGCTACTACTACTACTACTATTGCTACTATTGCTATTATTGCTACTACTACTATTGCTACTACTGCTGCTACTACTACTACTACTACTACTACTACTACTACTACTACTAGAAGTATTAATAGTACATGCCCCCCCTTAAGGGGGGGGTGGGCCCCCCTTAACATTCAATATATTTAAACCGACGTCCCCAAAACATTGATGCTTGTAGACCTAAGGTTCTGAGGATTTAGATGGATCTAGACATAGTGCATGTCACCGGGTACATGTCTCTTGTACGCATGGCACTCAGGTGCAACTACACTTACGTGATTTTTTACCTCATGTTTTCATGCTATACCGCTTTGTTTTTAATGGCGCTTCGCTTTTGTCGCTGGTTTTTCAAATGCGTTTGCTTGAAGTGTTCATAAAGTATTCCATGTGATTTTATTTGAATTGTGTTCTGGCATTCCATCTCGCATACATTCTGACATCTAAACAACAGGCTTAAAGTTTGTCGATATTTTGTGTATTATCGTTCTTTATTTACGTCATTTTCAAAATTCGGCGCGCTTTGCGTAAGGTCCGAAAATTGTGTTCTTCTTGGTTCGTATAGATAGTGTTCAACAAAGCAATAAGATAGATTGTTCACTACTAGCAATGACCGCGTTCAAAAAAAATCAAACCACGATTAGATATGTGTCAGATTCTACGTTTTCATGTCTTGAATTTAGCTATATATGTTTATTTTTGGATAAAAATAATCGCGGGTTTAGATTCCTGCATCTGGGTCCCGGGATCCAGGTCCCGAATCCCGGGTCCCGGATTCCAGAATCCACCTGTCCATTCTAGGTATAAACCAAGGTTTGAAAAACTATACAGATTTGTTTCGTCACTGGACTTTCTTTAGATCAGACCTTGTAGATGTAAATAGTTTTGGTATGAGTTGTACATTTCTCGCTTGTCTACACGGATGTATTTTTGAAAGAAGTTCTTTTTCAAAAGTTTAATTACATGAAGACACAGGTAATCGATGATGGAAAATAAATTCTGCATGTCTTGGCATGGATAATGATATGTATATTGTCACCAGGTACATGTCTCTTGTACGCATGGCACTCAGGTGCAACTACACTTACGTGATTTTTTACCTCAT